TAATCTTCAATCTTCTTTTCAGTCTTTCTTTCATTGATTGTTTTTCATTTTGTCTTTCTTTCTTTCTTCCTTTTATTCATTGCCTTTCTTTCTTTATTTCTTTCTTTCTCATGTGCCTCACCTAAATAAACTTCTTTCTATGTTCTTTTCAAATTGTTTGTTTGTTTCTTTCTTTCTTTATTTATTTATGTATTCATTTATTGTTTGCCTTACCCTAATAATTTTCTTTATATCTCCCTTTCAATTAAGGAATTTTCTTTCATTCATTGACTTTCCTTCTCTTTCCCCTTACCTTAATAATCTTCTTTCTTTCTTTCTTTCTTTCTTTCTTTCTTTCTTTCTTTCTTTCTTTCTTTCTTTCTCTTTCCTCTTGCATTAATGATCTTCTTTCTATCATCCTTTCAATCATTTTCTTTCTCAGTTTCATTCATTGTCTTTCTTTATTTCTTTCTCTTCTTTCTTATTTACCTTATCTTAATAAGTTTCTTTCTATCTTCCTTTTAATATTTTTTCTTTCTTTCTTTGTTTCATTCACTGCCGTTCTTTCTTTCTTCGTTTCATTCATTTTCTTTTTCAGTTTCATTCATTGTCTTTCTTATTTGCTTTATCTTAATAATCTTTCTCTCTTGCTTTCAAACATTTTTTCTCTTTTTTTACTTCCTTTCATTCATTGCCTTTCTTTCTTATTTGCCTCACCTTCATAATATTTTTTTCTTTTTTTCTTTCTTTTTGTTCTCTAGGATTTCTTTTTTTTCTTTCTATTTTTCTTTTTTATTTCTCCCCCTTTCTCTTTTTTCCTTTCTGTCTTAAGTTCTTCCTGTTTTTCCTTCTTTCTTTTTTTCCTTTTTTTTTTCGACTATATTTATTCATTTATTTTTTGCGGCGCTTTTTTTATTATTCTTTTCTTACGCCTTTCTTTCTTTCTTTCTTTCTTTCTTTCTTTCTTTCTTTCTTTCTTTCTTCTTTCTCTCTTTCTTTCTTTCGGTGTCTTTCTTTCTTTATGAACCTTTCTTTTTCATTTTTTCTGTTATCACGCCTTATTTTAATTCTTTTTTTCCTGCATCTTTCTTTCTTTTTCTTTTTTTCTTGTGCCTTTCTTTCTTTCTTTCTTTCTTTTCTTTCTTTCTTTCTTTCTTTCTCTCATTTCTTTCTTTCTTTTCTTTCTCTCTCTTATCTCTTTTGTTTGTTTCTTTTCTTTCTTTATTTTCTTTCTCTCTTTTATCTCTTTTCTTTTTTCTTTCTTTTCTTTCTTTCTTTCTCATTTTTCTTTCTTTCTCCCTTTTCTTTCTTTCTTTTCTTTCTCTCTTTTATCTCCTTTCTTTCTTTTTTCTTTCATTCTTTCTTTTCTTTCTTTCTTTTCTTTCTTTCTTTTCTTTCTTTTCTTTTCTTTTCTTTCTTTCTTTCTTTCTTTCTTTCTCTCTTTTCTTTCTTTCTTTTTTTCTTTTCTTTCTTTCTTTCTTTTCTTTCTTTTTTTCTTTCTTTCTTTCTTTCTTTCTTTCTTTTCTTTCTTTCTTTCTAATCTGTTTGTCTTTCATTTCCTTCATATTCTTTGATGTTTATCTTCTTTATTGTTTCTGTATCGATTCCGGTCTGATTTCAAACAAATATTTTCGCAAATATTCTTCAACCTTTATTACAAATCACATAAACTTTCGCCCTGCAATTGTAATTGTCATTTCTTCAGATCTTTAACGATTCCTTCTTATCTTTTCTTCTTCGACGCTGTAATTTGCATCAAACAGTTACATTACATGTTGATTAATTTCCCGCGTCAGGTTTTGTCCATTATTGCGCCGTAGCAGCCATTTCAATTCCTTCCGCTAAATAGCAATTCATCCAAGATTCCGTCACCAAATTTGTTTCTTATCTATCTATCTATCTATCTATCTATCTATCTATCTATCTATCTATTTATCTATCTATCTATCTCAGTCTGTTCATTATCTATCTATCTATCTATCTATCTATCTATCTATCTATCTATTGACGGCTTTGGGGTAGGATTTATAACTGATGCTAAATCGGTCGAGTTTCGATACCGGCTTGAAGCAATCAGACGTCTAACAGTCTGTCTGTGGATGACTATATATATATATATATATATATATATTTTAAACTGGTTTCATTAAATAAATTTCCTGTATTTTAATCAGTTTCTTGATGTCAAGATGAAATTATTCATCAAGGAAGGCACTGTAGCTTTTTTTTTAACCGAAGTACTTTCGATCATTATCCGTTTTAGTTATGGAAACTTTTTTGCAAAACAAACGTTTCAATATAAGGGAGCTGACCTGATATTGATAAAAATGTAAAATTGCATTAAGTATTATATGCGGTTTAATATGTTGCTGCTATATTCGTAACAAATTTTGTTGAGGTTGATTTTGATATAAAAACTACGATGTCTTTCTTGATCAATTTCATTTTAACATCAAGAAACTGATAAGAAAACTACAAATGGTAACTATAAAAATAAGTAAATACAATATGTCAATATTAT